ATATGTGAGAAGAAATTTACCATTAAAATAGAATAATTTATCTGTTTAACTGGGTTAATCAAATTAAGAAAAACTGGAGATATTTTCAGTTATTTTTTAATGAAATTATGTATTTTAGTTAAATATTAATTTAAAATTCAATTTTTTTTCATTCAGTTCAAGTGAAAATATTTCTTTCCATTTCTTGATACAAATATTCACTAATTAAATTTTTAAATATTGAAAAAAAAAAATAAAAATTTAAATCATATCAAGTAAGTAATTAACAAATGTAAAATGATAGACACATAAAATTCAATTGTCATTTTTATTACGCCTTGCTTACGATAGTAACCTATTTTTTTTTACTCTGTTTCATAACTATAAAGTTACAATATGGTTTTCTTCCTTATGGATGAACCAATATACATCACTCGATAGTACAATTTTTATAAGAGTGAACGAACAATTTATTCCACCTGCTGTTACTAATACTATAGCGATTATAAAAGCATAATCATTAAAATGGCAAACTTTTATAAACTTATACGATCCAATATATCGTCAAAATACATTGTGAAAATATCTCTTAACCTTGCACAGCTCAAAAGTCTTTTACAATTTTTTTGATTAAAATACTTTAGTGTTGACAACAAATCTAGAGCGGTTTTGTTAAACAGTAATAATAGCGTGCAAAAAGACCATTAGTTTAGGTCTCTTAAAATTGTTAATAATTTCGTTAAGAGTTTCTAAGTTATCTTTTTTCCACCAGTTTTAAAATTTTACTTAGAGAAAAGATAAAGAACTAGATCTCAAATATTTCAAGTTAGAAAATAAAAAATTATTAGTCTACTCGTTATTTAGTTTTTACTACCCTACGATGATGCCAAAGAACATATTTTAAGATGTAAAAAAAATGGACGTACAATTTTACAACATATTTCAATTAGTCGATTGCATCCAAAATACACCTCATCAATAACATTTGACAATTTGAAATACTGTACAATTAAAACTATAATATTAGTGTGTCATTATATCGATGTTTTTGAACACTAAACGTATATTTTTACTTTACACACTTAACTAATACAATCAGATGAAATTACATCTGTGAAAAACCAATAGGGTACTCAAAATTTCTAAACGTTTAAGTTACAAAAGCAGACTGAGGTAAGCGTATCGGATAAAGTTTAACAATTGACATTTAACGTATAAACTATAATGTGTTTATGCTCAGCTAAGTTACAAGTACAATTTTTAGATAACAAAAGAAAAGTTAAATATTATAATGCATATATTATAATATATTTTACTTCTGATCTAAATTTTAAACCACTAGAAATATATATGATACATTTTTTTAATTTAATTTAATTTTTAAGTATCATACATGTTTATTAATATTATAGAAATACTAATAGTATAATATTATAGTTAATTCTACGAAAACAATTTTTGAATTGGTCTTCTTATTTAGTTGAACCGAAAAAATTAAGAATATCTTGTATCATACATTACAATGAGAGTAACTGAGTGTACATACGATTTTCAGTTATTAATTTCCATGCAAGTGAATAAAATTACGTTCATATTATATTGGTATAAAATACATAGCAATTTAATTTTTTTAATTCGTTTAATAACTTAAATAATTCTTGATCATTTTTAAAATGACTGCATATTTTTATATTAAGATAAATACAATACACTCGAAATAGAAAAATATCACTAAATATAAAAGATTATTCAATCTTTCTCTAGAATATGTAATAATTTCATGTCATTCAATACACAAAAGTAGAGTAACTAAATAGCGGTATTATTATTATTTTCAGTTTAATAGAAAATTTCAAAATAAATGTGTTTTATAAATTAGATAAATTAATCAATTCGGTAAAGTGAAGGGTCTTTTTCTTTAAACGATTTTATGGAAAAAAAACTATTTTTCTTTGCCTATCAAACAACTTTCGTTTACTTTATAAAGCTATTTTTGTGGCCTTTATTTTATTCGGAAATCAATGACCTCGAAGTTAATATCAGTATTTCAAGTTATTAATACAATTTAAAAATATTAACGGATGAAAATTTTAATTTTGGAATATATATCTAATGCAAAACACAATATTCATAATTTGCATTAATATTATTAATATGTCATATTAAGAATGTTGCTATGTATCTAATAAAGAAAATATTTTAAAGAATCATATAACGTATAATAATCTACTCTATAATAACGTCACCAGTTGGCTCTAAAACTTAAGTATTTCTATCAGTGAACAAGCATTTATAAAAAAAAAATATGTTAAACATCTGCCTTTATCCTGAAATCTTTAATCCTATGATTGACAGTCGACTGTAATTTGTGACTCACAAAATCCTCAATCCATCTGTCTCAATTAAATTGTTTAATTAAGTAAATAATTTTTATTGAGAAATAGTTATGAACTTTTCTAAAAATCCAATTAAATAAAATTGATATTTTTACTTTTACCTTAATTCCATTATTTTTTACAGATTCAAATGTTAAAAATGAAATATCTTTAGAGTAATTTAATTCGTATAATAAATATATTTATTCTAAAATTTAGATTTTTTTATAATAATATCACTAAAAAAAACCAACACTTGGGGTGGCGTTATAGTCGGGACAAGTACAGAACACTTCGATGTGAATCTGTTAAATTTTACAATAATTTGTATATTTGTAATTTTACAATTTCACAATTAAGCAAAATTGTACGATTAAATGTTTTTTTTAATTTCACTCAAATATTAAATTACTTGCTCAATTGAAAATAGAATATTTTTATTTCAAAAATTGTGATTTATTTACTTTGACGGACTAATACTCTTAGTTGAACAGTCATCGGAAAATTTTGTTTTAAATATTGTAGTTTATTTCAAAAGCTCCATTTTAAAGTAGGTTTAAATAACGTAGTCGTTCCAAATAAAAGTTTCTTTATCTGTAAGTAGTCACTTTCAAACTCTTCCTATATTTAAAATGTTCGTTATATATTCATTCAAAGTAAAACAAAAGAAAGATTATTGTCTTTAGAATATTATATTAAAATTTCATTAAGATTAGTAATTTAAAAAAAAAAGTTTTAGTATTTTGAATTTTTTTTTTGAAAATTCTATTGATTTATGATAGCGTAGTAATATTATATATATATGAAATATATATATTTTTTAATTCATAAAACTAAATGGTTTTTTCAATTTTCGGTGAATATAATGTCAATTAGATTAAACATTTTTAGACACGTAGATCAACCAAATCAATTCAGTGAGAGCTGAAAATTATCATTGGGAGACATAAGAAAAAAACTCTTCACAAAACCAATATCTCATCAGCTTCACATCGAAGCTAAAAATATATTTGATTTTTAAATGAGACGTGTAGATTTATCTTATAAATTTTGTAGTAGATTTTTGTTAAAACTTTACAGTTCTAATAAAACAAAGTTGAAATATTTATTAAAATTAATTTTGTTTGTTGTATTGATATCAATAATACTTTAGTCAGTGGGAAATTTTTTTTAATATTTAAAGTTAAGATGTTTCAGTTATTCTTTAAAGAAGTAGAGTTAGAGTTTAAGAATTAAAATTAATTAATATTTAAACATTAAAAAAATGTTAAATAAATATTCCAAAACAATAGAACATCATACATTTAGGTTCATTATGTTTTCGGTAACATTAACTCAGTTTTAAATTGTAATTATTTTTTAAACTCTAATATTTCTGAGTATATTACTCAGAAATAAATCTAGACTAAAAAGTATTTATAAAAATAAATAGCATAAAAAAAATCGTAGTGTAATCTACATTAGTTGTTACGTACACTTCTGTTATCTCCATTTTTCAGCCTAATTTATAAACTAAGATTATAAGGGTTAGCAAAAGTATTGATACTACAAAATAAAAAATATCTTTTAAAAAACATGTTTGTTATTGTTCTTTTGCAGTAAAATAAGTTCATATCATTCTTATAATAGTCCTGTAAAAATGTCCCTCTGAATATTAATGTAATGCAAACTTTATTTTTCTATATCGATTTAAATAATATTAACAAATTAAACTATAGTAGTATACATTAGTCTTTTGTCCAAAAAGCAATAATATCTTATGATTTGATACCAACTAAATTTATTATTGACTTTAAAAAATAGCCATAATTTATTTTTGATAAAATTATCCTCGCATGACATATCATCTTCTTTATAGCTCATATTATAAATCTGACACTTTTTATAATTGTACTTGAAATATTCTATCTAAAACTAGTTTACATTTTACAATATTTTTTTTATTTTAACCTTGAACTTAACGTGGAATACCCAACAAATTTTAGTAATTATTTACTTCATAGATATTGGTTCTATTGCCATTATGAAACAAAACCATTTTAACAAAAAAAGAAACGATAAATTATAAATACATTTTTATTGGATATTATATTGAGGTTTTCTAGACTTGATTATATAACATATTTAAATTTTCTCTTAATAATTTAAAATACCCAGGATATTTATAATTATACGTTATCTACTAATAATTTAAATAATGTTAAAAATACTTAATATGCATCGTTTACTCATCCAATAACCCTCTCAAAAAAAAAAAAAATGGAAAAATTTTGGATGAAAATAATTTTTTTTTTATGTTTTTGTTTTTATAACAATCTCTAATAATTAACTACAACAAGGAAAATATGGATTTTAGAAAATTTTTAAGATAATCATAATTGTCTTTAAACAATGTTAACGAAATAGTACTAAAATGAATCATTCAAATTAATATTAATTATAATAAAAATAATAATATTCTTTAACATTTATCTAAGTTTTAGATTTTTCATTGCTGGTTATTTATTTGTGGAACATTAAAAATAATTTTTAACTATAATTATTATTATTTAAGCGTTTTAATTTTAGTTTAATAGCTTACAACTTATATTTGCTCTTCTCAAATTACATCGTAAATTATAAGTTTTTATTACTTTTTTTTTATAGGCTATTCAAATGGGCTTAATATACGGTAAAGATGAAAATGGCAAGGATTTACCAGAAACGTCTACATGCTCTATTACCAACCAACTTCCTTATGCATTCGAAATATCTTCGATAGTCTTTTTTCTTGTTCCCTGGACATTAATTGTAATCCTTTACATCCTAATTGGTTTGAAACTCTACAAATCCAAACGAGATTCAAATAGAACCGTATGTTCAGCTCATTGTCGTCACACAGAATGTGTAAGTTCGACAAACAATAGAGCCACCAGTCGCGTAGTAAAAATGCTTGGTAAGTTTTTATCTGTTTCATTTTTCAACAAATATTTCTCATAAAAAATTATTGTACTTAATATAAAGTAATAAAAAAGTTACCATTCAAGATAATATAACATACATTTATTTTAGACAAATAAAATAATGTATGCTAAATATTTGCAAATCTTACAAGGGCTGACCAAATACCAGGAATAAATTGAGTCCTAAAAAACCTAACACAACTCTTACTCAGTCTTTTTAATATTTTAAAATATTAAACTCTGCGTTTTATTTAATAAACCAATCTGACCCAATTCATTTACTTTTTGTAGGCTCTGTTTGTCGTAAAATATTTAATAAGATATCTGATCAAGCTCCCATTATAAATGTTCCTTGTAAAAAAAGTTAATGTAATAATAATATTTATTTATTTATTTATTACATTACTCAGATTTTCAATGAATTATATAGCTCAACAAAGTTTGGATCATAAGATGTTTATGAAACTTTTTTTCTAATTGGTTTTCTGACGCTGATTCCGAAAATTCCCTTAGTTTCTTATCATTAATATTATAGCCACAATTTCAATATTCATAAAATTATGGGTTTTTTACATAAAATTTTAATTAAAAAAAAAAAAAAATTACTAACAGCTTCATTATATTTATAGTAGTATTATGATGATAATTTATTCAAATTTTGAAATTCCGTAAAGTTTCATCTTTGTTATGTACTTTTTAAATTTTACAGCATTTTTAAAAAAAGATTAAACTGAATAGTTCTTTATATATTATTTTTAATTCGTTTTCATGTTGTTATTATTTAATATAACCATAAAAAATGTTATGAGGATTCAAAAAATACTAAAATACTTTTGTAGTAAAATGTTAAAGTAAAATCAGATTTTGAAAATTTCAACTATTAAATTAATTATAGTAAAAAAATAATTTAAAATGAAATTCTACAAAAAAAAATAATTAGGGCTATACGTAGCTGTAAATCTCAACTTTAAGAGTATTAGCGAAAATTAAACTTAACAGAATTATTTGAAAATTTGCATAATTATCATTATGATATTATAAATATAATTAAAATTTTATGTGAAAAACCCATAATTTTTACAAATACTCAATATTTGGCTGAAATATTTATGGTAGAGAAAAGCTAAGGGCATATTTAAAATTAGGGACAAAAAACCTATTAGAATCAAAACAGATTTACTTAAACATTCCAAGACCCAGTATTTTGTCAAACTAATTGATAACAAAAATCAATTAACGATGATACAAAACTCTATTTTGAACTATTTTTTTCTTAGGCCATTAGTTATATTTTCATTATTATTAGTATTGCTATTTACAGTTTACATTTTTAAGTAAAAATATATAAACAACATATTATATATTTTATCAGATGCGTAGATATACCGAAAGGGTTTAAACCTCCCACTATTGAGAATAGCGATGTATCAATAAATATCTTTTTTTTTTTTAATAACTACAAGAGAAGATTTCAAATTACAAAAACAAACCCTTAATTTCATTAAAAACAGTAAAAGAATAGTTTTGTTGTATAATTTTACAAAAATGAGTCTGTTTTTTATAACTTTTATAGTACCTAATATTAAATTATAGTCACTACAGCACTATACACTTTATTTATAAAATAATATTTTAAGTTTTTATGTGAATGAATAAAGTTTTTTAGTCTGTGATGACCTTTTTTTTCATTCCTGTATATTATATTTATTCTTGTTGATTATTCTTGGTAAATTCCAATAGTTTTCTGACTACATATTAGTTTGGTCTGCTCCCAGTAATTTGTCAGAAACGTTCTGAGCATTGGTTTTCATACTTAGTTATTTTTTAAAGTGTTCGGTATCATCACTTCTTCATCTCAAATCCCTTTTTCTGATTCTATGAACATTTATAAATTACCTATTTATATTCCTCCATCACTGAATTCTTGTCACGTTACCCCAGCTGTTTCGTCGATCATTTTTCTATCATATTTTCGAGTAAATACTGGATATATTAAACTTTAATAAATATGCTAGAGATAAAGGAGACGCAGAGTGGCTGGTTTAACTTATATGCGTAGTTTATTGTTACCTGAGATGGTTTTTATTATAAATCTAACTTTACCTTTATGTTTAAATATTTATTGTTATTGATAGATTATGTATGAAAATTTCTATAATCTATATTAAAATTAAAAACAAATGACATCATACTAAAGCTAATAAATTCTCACTTTCGCATTTAAAATAAACCTATAACAATAAATGAATAAAAATAAACATGCAAATCAATATGTATTATGAGTATTTTTACATATCTTATTAGGCGAATTATTAAGAGAAAAAAAAACATATATTTAAGAAAATATGATTTAACAATAAAAATCTATGCAACCCTTATTAATACTTTATAGTAATAACTAATTATGTGAGGTGTGGCGAGGTACTGTGGTTTATTCACCGCCTTAGCACTAATGCTCAGCTGCGCTGTTGGTGGATCCTGAATGATCACCCATCTGGCACCTCTAAGAGTGACACACACCTTGCCTCATACTGATTCCCTTAACTATAATGTAGTTGCATCAGGCCGACAGCTGGTATAAAATTCCGTCAAATCGTTATTGTAGAATTAACCCCAGATAACTTGGATAGAGGATATGATGAGTAATAACTAAAGATATTCAGAGATAAAAATACTAAAATTATATGGGTAATAGAATAATATTTATAAATAACAATTTAGCGCGTAGGTAATACTATTTTCATAAAAGTTGGCATTATATCTATTAGTATTTAATTCAATGTACTAGGGAACATATTTTCATTCTTCTTAATGAGCCAAAACAAAATATTTACATTTACAACAAATTCATTTAATTTAATGATTCGAACAATAGATAAAATATATTAAAAAACTGACGAACGTTTAAAATTAAAATTCAGCCATTTTTAAACTCGTTACAAGGGTAATAATAATAAACTACGAACAAATTAAAAATAAACATGTATAAAAAATTTGGTCTTCGTTATAAAAACAGATGAATTATAGTTTATTAGAATAAATTATTTCCTCTGCCTGGTATATTTAATAATCGTTAAAGAATATTAACGAAAATCAACTTTTGTCGTAGTTGCTGTAGTAGTAGCATTTTTTGTTTGTTGGGCGCCATTCCAAGCACATAGACTTTTGGCCGTGTATGGAGATTCGCAGAATGAACAATCAAAAAGAATATTCCAATGGTTAACTTATGTATCTGGTATTTTGTACTATTTATCAGCTACCATTAATCCACTTTTATACAATCTTATGTCATATAAGTTTAGAAATGCTTTTAAGGTAAGTAATTTTACCTATACAACAAAAATATTTTATTATTAACTGTGTTCTTATTTGTAATAAAACAAATAATTATTATTTCAACAAAAGCTTAAATCATACCAAAAGTATAATCGATATAAAAATATTCGCGTGTTAAGATAAGTACACACTTTTGGGAGGATGAAATTGAAAGTAAAAATATATACTAAATACATTACTTTAATAAAATGAGTCTTCCAAGTAAAACCTAACTTTCTCAGCTAACAAAAAATTAAAACACTTATGACTGTAAGTAGTAATTATTTTCATCTCTTGATGAATCTTTAAGCTCTGACAAACATGTTTAAATTTTGAAAGTTGTACGAATGCTTATTGATGTACCCAAGTTCATAACATATTATAATGATACATGTTAATAATGTACTTTGAATATGAGAGATTTGTCTGTAACATATTGTTTTAAAACAAATTTTGAACTTTCAATTTTAATTAGTTCAAAATAGTTGTATCTGGTTTCCATTTGTATTTACTGAGTAGTGAATAATAACACACAACGATATACAACTATTAGGTTTTTAACATAAAATATATGAATATACTAGCTGAATTTAACTATAATTTAAATAGTTTTAGATCAAAGTCAATAATAGAAATAATGTTGTAAATTATTCTAGGAAACTTGGAGTACATGTAAAAGGACTGGTAGTCTGAGTCCTGATCATAGCATGCCAAACTTAGACTATAAGTGGCAAAGACGTAACAGTCATAGTAGAAGTTTCAGTAGCAGTCATTTTGATGAGGTATGTGTAAAATTTCAAATTTAATACAAATTCTACAGCAATAATAACTATTATTCAATTTAAAGTAAAAAATGATTCAATTTATTTAAAAATTATGCTTTTCAAAAATATACCATTGCTTTCTACCATATATACTATTAACTAATTCTGACAATTCATGCGTTACATAATTGTAATACTAAATAAACCGACCATTTTAAAAGCGACGTAAGTCAAGAAATGTTAAAAGTTTTCAGTACAGTACGTTTAGTAAGGGCAGTTTTTTTTTAATTTTCAAAAAATTGTATAAAGAATAAACCTGTATCCATGAAACTTTTAGCTTATTTGATTAAATAAGTATTCTATTAAATAAAATAAAATATTATTATTATTTTTGATATAATATTAAAGTTAACAATTTTTTTTTATACTTTTAAAAATTATGTGTAAGGTATTTAATCACCTTACAAAGATCAGCTTGTTACAATCATAATTTAGTTCTATCTAAAAGTCGAGTCGAGCCGTAATATTAATTTCATGTTTTGGACCGGGCCAAATCGGACTTCAATTTAAAATGAGCTGAGTTGGGTTGGATCAAGTCAAATCAAACATTGATAGTAGGCCGCGTACGTTGATACAAACTATGAAAAAAAATCAAATAAACTAATATTTTCATTAAAAATAAAATATAATAAATGAAATTTAAACATTTAGAAATTTTTTAATAACAATTATGGTATTTTTTTAATAAATCGTATTTGTACCGACCTGGATCGGCCTAAAAATTTACTAATAAATTTGGATCAGGTAGATAGGACTAAACTTGAAAAACAAATTTCGAATTAAATCAGACCTAAATGTATATATTCATTAAATATAGATTAGGTTCGAGTCGATTCGAACTAAATTATTTTTTAGATCGGACCATATCAAACCTAAAATTTTACATATACATTTGGGTCAAGTCGGATCAGACTTCTCAAAAAATATATTCGGATCGGGCCGTACTTTAAGTCCTGAATTGATCTCTGCCATCTTGTATAATTATTCTTTCACTCATATTTAAGTCGGTTTAAATATTGTTTTATATAAGTAGTTATTGAAAAGGTAGTTTCTAAAGTTTGAATGCTGGTTTATATTACAAAATTTAAATTATTAACGCATTATAGCTACTGTCAGGTTAGATAGGTTGTTTATTGTCCCAATCCTTTTTACTGCATATAAGTAAATTTATTACTATAAGAAATAACAATTCTACTTAAATTTTAAAAATATTCTAAAAATTCTTATTATAAATATAAGTTAATGAAACTAACTACAAGTTAAAATTATCGTTTATAACTACATATTAGTTAAATGCTTCTAGGGTAACTCTATGAGACGAATGATGACCCTTAGCAATAAAACTTCAGTACCAAAAATCATTACTGTTACGGAAACTGATAGTTTTGCGGATGATGGTTATATGAGCAACATACCTATAAGGTTTTCACGCAAAACGATTTTCAGAAAACCAAGTGTTGTTAATGAAGACACTGCAATGGACAGTACCATCTTAACAGACGACGGTGTGCTGACCAACAATAATAGGCCTACCACTACAACTTTGTTGATGACACCCAATTGATTTTATTCTTGATCGATTGTTCCTATCCTCTTAAACTTGTAAAAGATGATTCGATGAATAAAAACATTAAAGTTAAACTTGTCATTTACAAAGAGCTTTTATCGTTAATTTAACTATTATTGTTAAAGGTAATTATTTTTTGTGAACTTTAATATCAACACATTTTTCGCTTATTTCCTTTTAACACATACTAAAGGAAATTTCACATGTTGTGAACTTTTGCGACTGAAATATTTATTCTAGTTATTTAAAGGCGCGACGCACTCGTTGCATAACTTTTTTGTGCGTTTCTTTCTTTCTTGGATGGCGTGTTTAACCCAACTCGACGAACATTTTTAAATAAAAACAACAGTTTTATGTTACAATTCCAATATTTTATTGATACCTTAAAACCCACTTTGAACTCTTGCTCTCTTGATATTTATTATTAAAAATGTGTTTGATTGTAAATAATAAACCTAAGATTATTTTCGTTGCTTATTGTATTTTATAATAAAAAATTTTTTAGTAAAATTATAATTTGGACTTATTGATATTATCACTTATTTGCGGCAGCAACCACTTCTATTTCCACTTTTGCTCCCTAGAAAAAATTAACAACACTAAGATTAATCACTGAGTAATAAAATAGCAACATAATTTAATGACCACCACATGTCACAAATATAGCCCAGACAATTTATAGACCCGAGGGACTATGAATAAGAATTAATCGCAACAAGTGGGCAGAAGACAACAATATGGTGGCGAAATATAACATATATGTAAAATTTATCGCATCAATATTGTCTTAAAAAAACAACAGGTTTTAGTTAACAAATAATTTATACCATTACGTTAACTTACTAAAGGCAGATTCGCAACTTGGAACATGGCCCTAGCCGGATATGGTACGACAAAAACTGTTAAAAAAGAATAGAAGCAAAATTATTGTATTTAATCAGTACTGAGTGCTATCTATTTTGAAATTCAAATGAGTGTGCATATAATTACATTGTTTGTAAATCTCGTTTACAGTCGGTCCGTCTTTTATGTCGGCTAATAGAACTGTGGTCTTAACGACTGAAAAAAAGCAAAAAAAAAAATTTATATATATGTATAACATACATTTATTTGATAATGCGCAGAAAACTAGCATGCGAAGTACAAGTTGACTTAAGAAAATTTTCCCCTAGAGTTCATTAAAATAAATTGTTATTTCTTTTCTTTATATAAAACGTAATCTCATTAAATTCTATTTTTTTAAATGGATTAATTGATATAGACAATTTTTATTTTGAGTATTAAAAATAATAGTTATTACAATTTTATCAATAAAGTTTTTTCGCAAATAAAGAGAAAATATCAGCATTGCCATTTTTAAAAATACTGTAAGACTAAACTTCAAACTTTTAAAGTCGATATCAAAAGTAAAAATTTATAGAATAATTTCAAATTTAGCAATATTTATCATAAAGATACTACAAACACAAATAATTATTAAATAGTATCATAATAATACTTTTTTTAAATTAATTATCGTGTTATATGTAAAAACAGTTATTTTACAAATACTCAAATTGAGCTTAAATTCTGATGATAGTGAAAAATTAATAATATATTCGTAATCAGCATCAATAAATCTATCAAGAACAAAATAATTTGTATAAACACTATGACGTAAATTTTGTTGTGCTGTGTAATTTATAATTAAATATCACTAATTTCTTTAATTAACATTAGATAATTTAATTATATTTTTAATTTTACCTTTGCTTTTCTTACCTCATTAATATTTGATTTAGTCTTTCTGAATTAATACTATATAGTATTTAAAGTATAGAAATCTAAATAATATAGTAATTTTGACAGCATAATTATTTTAAAAGTTGTTTAAATTTAATAAATTGGCATATAAATATTAAATTGCAAAAATAAATAATCAGTTTTACAAGCAAAGATAAAAACGTGATAATTTTCAGTTGATAATTTAATTTTTTTTTAAACTAAATACTTTTGTTGTAGGATTTACAACTTAAATTCTATGATAGTTTTATGAGTTGAACAAAACTGAATTTATAAATAAACTTGTACGTAGAGACGCACAATTTAAAATTTAATTTTATGTTGGCTAGCGACTACATTATTATATGTATTGTGGTACAGATGGACGTTGAACTGGTATATCATAATTACTGGGACGTGTTGAATATACTAATGTTTTTTATATTTAGTGTACGAATTTCATTGCATTTCTATTGTTTATTAATATAAAAATGTTCTTGCTCTAAGTTCCTTAGGACTTAACGATATAGAAAAGTTTTATTCAAGCCCTTTAAAATTTCACGTTTTATTTAAAATATGTTTAAAAATAAATGAAATGAAAACCTCCAAAAAATAAGAACATAATAATTTACAATAAAATAATTGACTAAAAATAGAGTAAATCGCTCATTATCAAACAATTTAGGATTTATTGGACTATAATTAAATAAAAACTCTTATATTATAATTAACTTTAATATAATTATATAATTAGAATTAACTTATAATATCTGTATATAAAATGTTGTGGCTATTTTCCTAAAGCTCATATATCAATTTTAGCAATATTTCAGGAGAATAAAAATTAATTTACAGTCGCGTCTTATGCAAATTGATATTTTTAAAATACAAGACCATATTTTTGATAGACAACAGATTAAACACTCTTTTACATATTTCATCAATAATCTCAAAACCATTTTTTTTTTTTTTGTGAAATATCGGCTTTTGATTACACGCCACATAAATAATAATGTTATCTACTCTTAGATTTTAATACTTTTAGCGATAATAAATAAAAACACATCTGAAAGATTAAATTTTAATTAAAAAGATGAGAATAACCTGTAATTGAACACCATTTTGATTGTTCATAGCATATTAAAATATCCTCACAATAGCTTCAAATTTCACACTTAAAATCGTGTATTATAAGTTAAAAAAACCATAAATCCAAAATACTACAACAGGAAATGTAAATATTGCATATTTATTATTAACCCTTTTTTTTGGTAATAATAAAAAGTCAAAGCTGTTAATGGGTAGAACGTATAGACACTAAAGAATACTTATGTTAATATATTTTATTCAATTATACAGCTAAAACCCATGTAACGAAACTCGTTTATGATCCTGAGCATCGTTATTTTATTGTAACTTTTATACAATATCTACATGTATAGATATAGATGATAGCACGTGAACCCAATAACAAGACTTCATCAAAATTAATGACGAACAAAAAAACAATAATAAAAACTTGTCGCAAAATAGAAGTAATTCGTTTTCAGGATACTGAGAAAATCTGATAAATAATTTAACAGATAGAATAAAACATGCAGTTTGTTTATTATACTCAAATAAAACTGCATTGAACTCACACGTGTTTAGATAAGTTTTTTGGTTAATATTACTGAGCACGTTTATTGTCATTCCTGATCATTATAAGAATTCATCAAATTCTGTAGATGTTACGAAGAACTTTATATACAACTTTAGAATACAAATATAAATATTATCCTGGGATAAAGTATCAAAAATCTACAGAAAACAACGCAGTGATACAAATTAAAAAATATATACTGCTAAATTTAAAAAAAAAAAAGGATCAGTTTTTAAACAATTTTTATCATAAATATTACACTAAAACAGATAAATACAATAAAACAGATTAATCCTTGAAAAATACTTCAGTGTAACTAATTTGGAAATAAGTTAAAAGCAAAAAATTACACATTCATAAATTATGTACTGCTACGAAAACAAATTAAGTTCTATGTAATACATCGAAAAATATTTATAAATGGTATAAAGGTAAAAACAAACAACTTGATCCCAAGCCGGGATTCATTTTAAACAGATGCTATAGTACAAAACAAATTATATGATTATCCCAGATATTTCAAACATCAACTTCTTCGGGTACCTTAAAATAAATAAGAAACGAGATAACCATGGTCAGATTTTCGGTGTTTTACAACATATTTTTTATAAACAATGAAACGTCGAAATTGTTTCAGGCATAAAACATATCTATATTCTGGCAGGCAATCTAAACAAACAGTACTGCATAAATACATATTTATTTTGAGATAATATTTATTTAATTTGATTTAAACTAACGTTGTTTGTAGACAAATCTATGTAAAACCTAAGCGTTCCAAAATCTTTAAATACAACTTCAAATTTACTAGAAAAAAAATAGGATTCTAAATAATAAGATTTTTAAGGAAACATAAAAGTGAAGTCCATGACCAAAACGGAGAGTTCGTAAATTATTTATATATATTTTTTTTGGACATTTATTATTTAAGTAAACATATTATTACGTTGAAATTCTGAGGGTTCACCTTTTATTAAAAATATTTAAAGCTATTATGCATAAAATCAATGTACATTTTTATTTATTTCATGTTTATTGGCTTTTCATACTAATTTATATAATAGTCAAATATTTGTATCACAAGTATTTATTAAATCTAATTTCATATTTGTTAACGACAAATAAATTCAAAAGAAAGCACAATGATCAAAAACTTTTGCTAATTATTAATAACAACTACAAAAAAAATTACTATTAAATATTTTTAGAATCTCTTCTAGTTTTCCATCATCCCTCTTACGTGGGGACTTTGAGAAAAAATGTTTTAATTTAAAAGAATTAAATTTAAACTGACCAGATGCTAAAGACGACTGTGAAGCTTCTAAAATACGTTGAATATTCTCTAAGGCTTTTATGGTTTCAGGACCGACTCCACCCTCCACCATTTTCCCTGATTTCGGATCTAATCCTAATGATCCAGACACGTACACGGTATCGCCATACTTAACTGCTTGACTAAAAAAGTTACAAAAATTCCGTATAAGTTTTAATGATTAATCAAATCTACTATATATGTATTTGAAAAAAACTATGCACTAAATATAAGTAGTCATATTCAGTAAAATTAACTAGTAAAAGTTTATATAGCAATAAGCTTAATTAGCTGATTACATAAATCTAATTAGTAAATTTCAGAAACTCTATTTTTTGTGTAAAGTTAATACTTAAATATTCAAGTAAAACTTCTACGAATATCAATACATTTATCTAAAATAGCACCTACACAAATTATTTTTATAAAAATGTAAATGTTATATTAACTTTTCCACTTTCATTTATTTTAGTTTAAACCAATTACAGTAGAAATTGAGTTTTTATACTATAAGTTAAGCTTTATTTTAAAACTACAGATTAAATACAATGATAATAGTTTCAAAAACTGTAAATATTCGTATTTCGACAGTTTTCATGCCTTTTAAGTTTTTGCGATAAAAATTATCCAATTATTTCAAATAAAGATATTATCATTTTTAGCATATTAACATTACATTGAGTTGTGTTACTTCTTTTGATTATATAAAAAATATTAACTTTGAATGAAAATTAATTATCATGGATTATAGCTTATAGTTAAATAAAAATATAACACTTCGATGGATATTAATTTCTTTTGATAATTATTTTCATTGCACTATAAAATACGTTAAATAAAATATTTTATCAGTTTTAGAATGTTTATCAAAAGTTTATTATTTTGTATAAACATCTTAAACTTTTGTTATTCATAAAATAGTTTATCAGAGAATTTCTGTTTAAATAAACAAATTTTGTAATAAGTTTTTTATCTTAAGAGATGCTATTTTTGGTAAATTTTTTTTTCAAAGCTTTAACATATAAATATGTTGCGTACAATAGATAATAGTTATGAAATTGAACCCTTATAAAAGAGATTTCAAAGCAAGATCGTAAATACAACTTAGTATAAAACTTAAACAAAAAAAAATCTAAGTTTTACCTTGAATAAATGCACAAATAACGCAAATAGAGTGCAATAATACTACAGGATCTAGGAATTTAAGATGCAAATACCTAAACATCACACATCATAATAATATTTGTATATTTTCAACCTTACGTTAAAATAGTATTTTAGAAATTCATTTTATTATTAACAATATAATATATTAAAAATGATAGATTTATTTTGTCTTTTAGTAAGAATTTTTTTTCTTCAAAAATTGATTTTTTTTAACTTTTATTTTTTAGTTATTATAACCAGTACCAAGTTTTTAATAAAATGTATTGAAGTTACAATAAAATTGTGTACAAGTAATAAGACACAAAGAAGATGTCATTTATTGATAACTAATTTAGTAAAATTAACTATAATTAATATAAGATTTAGACAATGCGAAGTGTAAATTATTTTCAGTCATAATCATAATCGAAATACACAAAAAATATTGGATTGCAGGACACCCCTGACTAATATTAAAATTTTATTAAATGGCACAGCCAGCGTTAGGGATGTGCGAGGTGTCCTTCTGCAAGAGATCCGTACTTTAAGGGACCCCGCAAACTTATTTGATTAACAAAAAAACGATAACATGGTGAGTTCGCGGCACATTATGGACGTGAGATAGTTGGAACAAGTATAAATGATATCTGACAGTGATTTTAAACGCTGTCATAAAAACGCTTTGATGCAAATCTGTAGATAGCGTTTAATTCTAAGAAATTGGTACAAAACTTAAAAAGCAACATCAACTCCTATTTCCTTAATTATATCCTGATTACAAATTTTATGATATAAAAGTATAATATATAAATAAATATTTAATAAATTTGTTCAACTTCGATGGTCATATCACATCATCACATAGAAGATAGGTCGCCGGTACAATTTTATTTTATTCAATGAAATTAATATTTAATAATTTAATATTATAATTTTTTCAGAGAAATAATAAATAATGATTAAGTAGTATATTTTGTTACTTCTATAACAAACATGTATAGAAATTAAAAGGCTTGATGCAATTCTTTATACATTTTTTTTTTTACTTATGAATAAATACATTGGCCTACAAAGAACTTTCATCGGAATCAAAAATATACCTTTCTAAATCAACTTTTCGAACTGTTTTTAAATATGAAATTAGACTTTTTTTACCACTTCTAAATTTTCATATTATAACTAATTATTAAAATATGACTATTTACATAATAAATATAATAAAAAACAAAAAAATATTGTTTATAATTATAACTGATTTTTATATTCAATATATAAAAAACAATTAGTGTAAAATATCATATTTAACCTATTTTTTGAACCTTTAAAGTTGATTTTTTGAAAGTTCTTAATAAAAAAAAAATTTGAATTTGTTATCATGACTTTTAGCTCAAAGTGCAACTTTGAAATTGACATCATTAAATAAATTTTATGAGAATTAAAAAATGATATTGTTAATATTAATATGCAGTCAGGAAATTTATAATTACTATTTACAGTAAATTTATAAGATAAATTCAATTTTTTTTTTTCATTTTTATTGTAATAGATCACTTAAATAGAAATCATAGTAATAATTTCTAAGTAACTAAAAATATTCTACAATTGAAATTTTAGAACTTAAATTAATTTGAATAATTTATTTTAACTAAAAAAATCAATTAAAAAGATGTTGAAAAAATCTACTCAATTAAGTGTATTATAAAATTTTATTATAATTGAAAAAATTAATTGATAAATTCGAGAAAAACTAAAAATCATTTTTTTTTTTAAATGTTTTATACAGCAAAATGTTACCAAAAAAAATGGAATATTATAGATTGGTAGTAACACACAAATAGAGTTAAAAAATGAATAAATTACAAAGAAAAATTATTTAGTTTTATATTTGAAACCTATTATCATATCAAACCTAATTCGATAATAAATACTTTAAAAAATATTAGAAATTAATGATATTAATTCTCTACGTGGCTAAGTAACTTTTTAATTAATAAAGTAGAAATTTTTTTAACCCTAAAGAGGGTGTCTTTAGCTAGATAATAGTTGTGATCATTTGACATATTATTAAAAAAAATGGTCAAATGAGAGCTGAGAATATAAATGATAGCCACAAAAAAAAACCACATAGTATAATTATTTTAATATGAATAAGAAATTTCTTCTCATGAGAGGAGTCTACAGTGATGGGCTTCTTTATATTCATTGAAGTTATTCAATCTAAATGAGATAAAAATCAAATGAGTCAAAGTATTTTTTCTAACTCAAAATCCTATGTAAGGTATTTTAAAATAAAATAAAATGCAAAACCGAGAAATTTAACTCAAAAATAGCATATTTTTGGATACGTTAGACATTTTTAACATGAAAACAAACTAAATATTAGATTTTTTTTATCATATTTAAGTATATTACATAAGCTTTAATTTAAGATATAAGGTGTTCAGTAAATAAAGAAACGGGTATCTTATTGTTCTCATTCTCAAAGTTTTCATTTTTAATCCCCTCCTGTGTACAAGTATAGAGTCATTTATTAAAAAAAAATTGTATTGATCCATACATTTTTTAAAAAGTTATAACAGTTTTAATTTAAAAATGTTTATAAAATGTCAAAATTACCAATTTTTAACGTTTAAATTTTTTTGAAGATTTCCTCCAATTACGGGGAACAAGGGACATTTTTTAATTTTTGAGAGTAGAGTCTTCGACTAGATACGATTTGTGATCTTTTGACGTATCGTTGAAAGAAATCGGGTCGGTGAGAGCTGAGTAAAAGTGGTAACAGACAAAAAAAACACATCATAGTAAAATTAATACCTTCTCAGCTTCGCATCGAAGCTAAAAAAGGTTCTTTTCCATGAAAAATAAATGAAAAGTCCAATGATTTCTAACGTAAGTACTGCTGTTGTTCAAAATGGTTCGAAGTAATTTTGTTAATTATTTTTTTTTTTTTAATTTTTTGTGCAATAAGTATCCAGGTGCTTTTTGTTAAAAATGGAAAGATAATGAAATAAGAAAAAATAAGAAAATCACTCGCTCTGTATAATGTCTAATTATATACAGAACGTCAAAGGTTAAAGGTTCCAACATAATGTTGCAACACAAGAAGTTTTAACACAGTATTTTATAATTTACCTAAATTTTTGTAACATGAGAATTGTCATGAATTTTTTTTCAAAAAACCTATTGTATTTTAATCTTATGAATTTTTTGAGATGCCCTAAACAACTTATTCTAAATAAACAAATATATACCTGAATATATTCACGAGTTTTTTTTATATAGCTTTCAATACATACATGTATTATTATTACAACTCGGCAGTTTTATTTTATTACTGCTATTATTTTTAAAGAGCAGTTTGTAGAAATAATTTTAAAGGTATATAAGAGACGATGGAACACTATAATTGACGCCATCACAACGACGTTAATCCCCTACATTAAGAAATTAAAATTATATTTAAATATATACATTATTGAAATCATATTTAATAATATAAAAATTATAGTTATGACTTAATCGCAAAAAGTGTATTTATCATCGGTACACGCCTATTTAAAATAATATATACTATAAACGAATAGTTGAAAATATTAGAAACTATTTTTCTTTAATTGTTAAATCACTAAAAAGTTATAATAAACTTTTGTTTTATAATTAAAATGTCAATTATAGAAAAAATAAAATCGATAGACATATAAAAATAAAAAAATAAAATAAATAAGTTACCTGTATGGTCCGACAGGTTTAGGAGCTAAATCCGTAGAAATGTGAGATAAGTAACTCATATTTACAAAGCGAACTGGTATTTTCGACTGTAGAATTGGTAGTTGAATATTTTGACAATAGCGATTAATTGACGGCGATCCAACTAGCAACTGTAACAGTTTGTTAATAACACTGGTCATATCAGTGAAAATAATAAGCCCACGAATTATATAAATGTGTACTATTAAAGATGGAAAGTTTATTATTATCACAATATAAACTAGATTATTAAGTATTCATTAAATTTGAGATAAATTTAATTAATTTTAAAAATAACAATTACTATCACTTGGATCAAACAGCTTATCGAATTGATAAAATAAATTTTTAGATAATATTCCATTCAAACAGAACTAATCAAAATATTTGTACAAAACGTTAAATGTATACAGTATGACTGCTGTCCTATTGCTTTATGAGGTCGAATTCAAGTGTCACAATTACGTTTAAATACATAGTCAGGATGTTACATACTATAGATGTAGGGGGTTTAATTGCGTTCTCCATAGACTACATTCATTCGTATACGATTATATGAATTAGTCTATTTTAATTAACCACGGTGCAAGAACTCTCGGATTTTTTTTCAAGAAAGGGATAAACAAGTCTAGTATTTATTGCTCTCCAAAAAATGTATTTAGCAATATAAATAATTCTTAAACTTTTTGTAGATTACAGACTGGGACTAAAATAAACAAACTTTTCGATCATATTAATCTAAATACAGAGGTGTCGTGGAGCGTATACGCGGGTATACGGCGTATACGCACTTCTTTGTTTTTCTGTTATTGCGTATACTTATAAAATCATGAGTGATACGCGGGTATACGGCGTATATCCACTGTTAGTTTTTTTATTAGTGCATATACGTATTTATAAAATAGTTAAAGAGTATAGACTAAAGAATAAAATAAAAAGTAATACGTGGGTATCGAATATAGGTACGTTTGTCATAAAACACAAATTTTGAATAACTCTTATCAGTTTGTTTAATCTCTACAGTCATACCACATATAAACATATATCTGAAGTTATAAACATACAAATATGGCTCGAGACTATTATCATTTTAAAATTAGAATATAAATGTAAAACAAAACACTGTCAAAGTGTATAAATAAATAGGATAATGTTTATCATTTCACGACAATTTTATTGACAAAATTTAAAACATCGATCAGAAATTAACGATATAGCACATACTAAGTTGAAACTGAAAGTTATTGGGTTAACCTATAGCTGTTGAAATTGGTAATTTGTATTTTTCCGTAATAAACCGTTTACCAACCAATCTAGTATTTAATATATTACCTATAATGAATTAAGATAATACTAACATGTACCTATTCACGTTTATTTCATTTATGTTTTAACGATTTGAAAACAATGATTGTAAGATTATTTTATTACTGCATAAAGTTTATTGTTTATTTATAAAAAATATAACAGTATCTAATAATAGACATATCGATTATATGACTATGAAATTTAATTTATGTAAGAACTTAGAAGTGTCAGTAAAAATATTCGAGTAATAGTTTGGAAGTTGGAAGGAGCAACTGGGAGGGTTAGGAGTTTTAGTTGCATTATGTAATAATTAGAAAATACATATTTTTAACACAGTTAAAATATCACAATATTTGTATTCCGTCCCCTAAAACTATGTTATAGTTAAGGCCTTTGAAATGTAGTGTGGGGGTGAAATTCCCTACGTTTCCTCATTTAGGTTTTTAACTTATCTATTTATCAAATTACGACTATATCACTGTTGATAATGTGAAATATTGTATGTAGAAAATGTAAAGTGCAATGGGGGGGGGTGGGGGGGCGGAGCCCCCCACGTTATTCTCTATTCATTATATAGGCGTATACCCATAAACATTTTTAGGACTACACCACTGTCTAAATAGTTACCGCGGGGAACGTTCCATTCCCCATAGTGTGGCCATACCCCCAAGATTTGGTTCTGATTAGTAAGACTAGTTATCAACTAAATCTCGGTAGTTCCCTTAAATTAGGGACTAATTCAGGAGCGTATTTAGTAATTTATAACTTAAAATAATTTTTTCCTGTCTAAAGTACCATTAAACTTACATTTTTTTTTTACTCAAACGTTTTTGTTAAAATTGCTACATAAAAAGGAGCATAAAAAATACATAAATATTTAAAATACGTATGAATAACATTTTTTTTTAAATATTTGTCTTTTTGTTTTAATTGTTTTGAGTTCAATTTTAATAATTAAAAAAAGGTATGTAATAATTAACGTCATATCATTATATTTCTTTATGCATTAAACACTTCTAAATTATTAAATTTAACGTATTTGTTAATAATAAGTGATAACGTTTCTGGGTAACCCCCCTACGGAGCGTTGAATTTTATTCCAAAAGAGAACTATGTTAAACTACATTTGATAAACGCATGTTATCATCGATAACAAAAAAAAGAACAGTTTTAATTGGTATTAATTAATAACTCGCCTTGAACAAAATTAAAAATTATGAAAAAGAATTCTAATAATTATTAACTTCAGTAGAAATGTCAGAAAGCTGATGGAGTTTTGTCAAATTTTACGAAAAGTTACCAATTGAGAGGCATCCACAAGAATAGGCTATAAACTGAGTAAAAGAAAAAATAGATATAATTATTGTATTACATATAAAGATATATTATAATATAGTATTTTCAGATAATAACTATATTGCATCTATTATGTCGTGATAGTAAAATTTTATCTTTTGATGAAATGTCAGATAAATATAATTATTATGTACATACCTATAATTAAAATACTTAAAACAAGTGTATACTTTTTAATTAATAAATATATGAACATGATCAATAATAATATAATAAATCGATTGATGATATTTAGAAAATCCAAAATTTGAAGATTGAGTTTATGTTATACATGATTGAAAAAAATTATTCAGCTTGATTAGTAAAACAATACAAGTTGTATAACGGCCATATCATTTTTGCATGATTTTCTAGCCTTTTTTTTATTCAGATCATTTTACTGAAATAATTTTTGAATCATTTATAACAAACTGAAACTGAAATTTTTTACTTTTTTTTCTGAGTGCTAGAATATCATAAGAACAATAAATTAGTAAAATTTAAATTTTAAAATCACTAAAAAGTATAATTTAGTGACAAACAGAATTTATTTACCTATAAAAAAATTGTTTAGACAAAGGTTCTCTAAAATAACCTAATTTTAATTATTGTACAATAAATGTTATAGCTTCAATCATAAGAACATAAAATATTTAATTTATTAGAAAAGTTAATAATATATTTATTAATAAAAAATAATAGTAAAATTTTATTATCATAGAAAGTCATAAATTCATAAAATAAATAAAAAAAGTAATATATATCATCTATAAAATAATGTACACACAAATTTTTATACATATTATATAGTATTTATCTAATAATAAAAACAATGATTAACATGATAAATTAAAATCTAGTTTAAAATATATTAAACAGATTAATTAAAAATCTATAATTATTTCTTTATAAAATTTATATTAATGTAATTTACTTTTGAATGACTCCAATAAATTACTAATACTTAGAGGAATTTCAAGCATCATAGTTTTTAATGTTGTTTCAATATTTATTTTATTATCAGTATCATTTTCTGTGATGAAGTTTATAACCTTTATTCTTTGACTAAAATGCCCTATTATCATACGCACATACTTTTTAGCATTTCTAGGCAAATCATAATTAATTAACCATTCTACATTTTTAAACTTATCATCTTTCAACAAATTATTTGTGATAAGCAAACGAGTTGAACCAGAATGAAATCGTTTCAAAATTAGTTGACGTTGATTTAACTCCATGTCATTATTTACAGTTGAAACAGTGCATGCCTTAATACGCAAATTTTCAGCTAGCCAAAGGGTTTTATCCCATGTATTACAATATACAATAATATTATTTAAATTTAATGCCTCAATAAGCTTATCTAAAGCTTCAAATTTCCATTCTTCTTGTACATAAAAGTAGTACTGAATTACATCTATGAGAAAAAACTAATGTAATAAAGAATATACTTTACATATTTTATTTCCTTACCTCCTAATGAAGGCTTTATATCTGGTAAAATCATATGAACAGGATCTTTCATACAATCGGAAAATATATCAAGCATGGCTTCTAATTTTGATGAAGATGAAAGTATTAGCTGTCGATCATTATGAAGAAATAATAATATTTGCTTCATTTGTTTGCAAAAAGAGATATCATTTATCATATCATCAACATCATCCACAACAACTATTTTAATAAAGTTGCAATATAATGAACCATTATCTATCATTAAACATAAGTCTTGAGGTATACTTATGATTACATGTGGCACGGGAGCAACTTTACGTGGTACATTTTTACTTCCAATACACGTGAAGACTTTTAAAAATCGCCCAAGAGATTTAACCATCTAAAAAATAGAAATGTTATATTACAAAAAATTAAGAAGAAAATAGTTTAATGTAGTATACTAGCTTAAAATATTAAATCTTTATTCTAATAAAACATTTATTCCATATTATTAAGGTTTTTAGGTACTCCAATTAACATCTATTAGCAAGTTTTATTTTTAAACTAATCTCTTCTTCTAATGGATAAATTTTGTTACATTAGGTATTTTAATATTTGAATCTACCATCATTCCAAAAAATAATAATAATGATGCTTTGAGAAATGAATTAATAGTTCTCCATAGTAGTCATAGAGATTTGTAATTTTTTTTATGGTTGAATTATCAAAATGGAAAATTTTCCTGATGATGTGAATAAAAAGGCTAACAGATTATTCTTATAAAAAAATAAACCAAAATTAAAGTTTAATGAGCAATATATGGCATACAAGTTATACTTATATAATTAAAATATAATATAATAAAACATTATCATAAAAATATATTCCTTTATATTTAATTAAACTAAATGTATATATTATCAGTGTATATTTTAAAACTTATAAAGGAATCGTTTTTTTCTATTAAATGACACAGCTTGATAACATTAAAACATTGAAGTATAAAAGCCAATTAAGAATGATTAACAATTTCTATTTTTTATAAGAGCTATTTTACCCCCAGGGGGACATGGCGTGTTACTTGACACCCATTGTCACGGGTTTAGCAAAACCTAGCTGTGGCGTAAGGAAATTGGCGATCACATCGCCCAGTGCTAATTGCACTGCAATAGCCCCACCTTACCTTAATTGGTTGGGTGGGCCTGGTCCTCCAAAGTGGCGGTTGAGCAATGGGCTAACACCCATCCTCGGAAAAAAAATTGTTAAGAAACAACCAACGCAAAAGCCTCGGAAAAATGTAGATATACAGAACTTAAAGATTGGAACATGAAACATGCGCTCTTTATACAAGACCGGAACACTGACAATAGTAGTATCTGAACTTGACAGATACGGATTGGCTATATTTGCAATTCAAGAAACTAGATGGCCTGGATTTGGCAACCACAAAACAGAGAAAGTAACATTATTCTACAGTGGAGGATTAGGACATGAAAGGGGAGTTGGCTTCGTAGTCAGCGACAGGATACTTAACAACATAAAGCAATACCTCTTGGAAATTCAAGCTAAATGGTTCAGTATAATACTGATAATTAATTGCTATGCTCCAACAGAGGACTAAGACGATGAAACAAAAAATGATTTTTATAAACAACTAGAAGCACTATATAACACAATACCTCAAAATATGGTCAAAATCGCACTAGGGGACTTTAATGCAAAAATTGGGAAAAAATAGGTTACAAACTGATGATAGGACAACAAAGACTCCATAATAACTCGAACGACAATGGAGTTAGAGTAATATCTTTTGCTACATTAGCAGTACGTTTTTTCCGCATAAAATAATCCATAAACAGACATGGATGTCCCCGGTGGAACAACTAAAAATCAAATTGATCATGTCATGATCGATTCCAGAAAGAACACTACATAACAGATGTAAAAAGCTATAAAAACATCTGCGGGATATCAGACCACTTTCTAGTACGAATCCAAGTATACCTCAGATTGTCGGTAAAGTGGAGAGAAAAGAAAAGAGTTGCCCAGAAGTTCAACGTTGAGAAATTAAAAGAAAACACAAACCTTCAGAATTACATAGAAACAATAGATAGAAATTTAGAAAACAACAACAATGAGCTTAATCAATTATGGGAGAATCTAGAAAAAACAATCAAGCAAGCAGCAAAAGACATACTAGGTTTTGAGGAGAGAAGAAAACCTAAAAAGTGGTTCAACGAGAGATGTATAAGAATCCTTGAAGAACGAGATGCTGCCAGAATGGCACTAATAAAAACCCCCAACGAATTTAATCGAAGAGTCTTAGCAATCAAACAATGAGAAACTAGGAAGATAATAAGAACCGAAAAAAGGTAATGGGAAAAGAGCTACATTAATAAAATAGGGATTAATTGTAAAAGAAACATCAAAGTCTCATATAAAAAAATGAATAACATAAAAAGCAAGTACAAACCAAGAACGACCATCCTAAAAGAACCAGACGGCACATTGATTACAGATAAAAGCGAAATAGCTGAAAAATTCAGAGAAATGTTTAAGACGATACTACTTAAAACAAGACAAACAGAACCTGTAGATCAATATCGACCACAGTAGAACAAATGATATATGAACCAACAATGGAAGAAATAGGAATGGCAATTGAAATGTTATATGCATGTGAAACCTGAGCCACAACCAAAACAGACGAGCAAAATTTGAAAGAAAGGTGTTACGACAAATTTTTGAATCCATAAGAAACCAAAACACGAGAGAATATGAGTGAAGAAAGAATGAAGATGTAATAAGCATGTTAGAGGATTCAGACATAATAGCTACTATGAAAAGCAAAAGGATAAGCTGGGCAGGGTATGTATGTCGAGGTCGACAGCAGACAATCGGCCAAGTCACCTGCTGAAAGCCGAAGAGCAAAAGACCACTCGGCTGCCCAAAACAAAAATGGATAGACAGGGTTCATAAAGACTTGGATATGCTGGGAATCCTGAACGGTGAAGAGCTGACCACGGATAGAGACAGATGGAGGGAAGTGGTGGTTGCGGCGAAAGACCTGAATGGTCTATATTAAGTCAAAAAAAAAAAAGTTATTTTGTACTGTAAACCACTCAATTAACAATATACTAATGTTAGCTACAAGATGAGTGTCCACACAGAGACTTAAATTTTACCACAAACCAAGTGAATTAAATATTAAAAAAGGAATTTTAACATAATATTTCTAAAAATTAATTAAAAAAAAAAATTTGATTTGAAGAAAAGAAAAACAATTAACACATTACGGACATGACTGCTATAGCAATTATGTCATTTTACGACTTCTAAATATATCACTGTTATAGCAATTATAGTCTAATTACGACTTAAAACACAATGACTGCTATAGCAGTGACTGTCCATCAACGTGTTAACTTTCTACTCCAACATTATTTTATTTTATAAACATATAAAATACCTTTTGTGTTGAAAGTGCTAATTGTTTAGTTGGTACCAAAATAATTCCTTGGCATTCTTTCATTAAGGTATCAATTCTTTGTAAAACTGAAATAAGACACATAATTGTTTTACCAGTGCATGGATAAGAGTGTAAAATAGCATCACATCCAGAAATACATTGATTTAAACAAAATTGTTGAAGTAATAATGGATCATTGAAACCATTTGAGTATATACCATGTAACAACTCTCTTTTTAAATTTATTTTGTTAAATGCGTCTAATTTTTTTCTTTCATTTGATTCAATCTGCAAGTTGTTAACAAATTTCAATAAGTTATGAGTACTATTTGATAGTTTAGAATTGTTTTCAGAGTTGCTAGTTTCAATTACTGAATTTAATACACCATTTGAACCTTGTTCGTTTCTCTCAATATCAGTTAATTTTATTTTATTAGTAATTGTATCATTTTCTTTTTCACTATCAATGGAATATTGAATATCATTTATGGTACCTTCATTTAATTCTTCTATTTCAATATTATTGTGTTTCTGTGAAATGAAAGAACACATTTATTACTTTTATATTACACTTTTTATGGAATAGAACTCGACTTGTTTTTATCAAGATTCTAGTATTAAAAAAAAATTTTTTAAATCCTAAATAAAATTTTTTTTAATTTTTATTAAAAGTTTTTTGAACCAATAACCAAAAAAATATTTTTTGGTGACCAAAAACATATAAAAAAAAACCCCTACATTAATTTAATATAATCCAGAAAACGAGAAAATGTAATACTGAAAAATGTTTTGTGTTTAATAATTATTATTAAACATACAATTTTATTAACAACCACTATATCTATATTTTCATTGGATATGAATTCATCATTAATTTCCAACCATGAATTATATGTTGAAGAAGAATTACTATTATTTTGTTCTTTATCATTCCTTGTTGTAAATTCTAAGTCTGCAACATTTTTATCTATCACACTGATTTTTTTATTCTTGGTTGAAATATCTAATACTAAAGACTGTTCATCCTAAATAAATTAAAGTATGCATTTTAAGTATTTACATTAATTTATTTAAGTTATTAATTGTACTATATTTCACTGACATAAGGCATATTTTTTACTAAAATATCTTCAGTATTTAATGAAATATTATCCATAGACAACCTGGAATTATTTGTCAATATTGAATGGGTACTTTTAGTATAACTATTGCATGATAGGAGTTTTCCAGTTTTCTCATTTATTTCTTGGTAATATTTATCATTATGATTTGAATTAAGTAAAGGCAATGCCAAAAACTAGAATAATAATCACTTTTACAAATGTTTTTATTAAAGTAACGTGTATTGTAAATAATGTACTTTAAAATTTAAAATACAAAATTATAACAATGTTTTACATCAAGAGTTCAGGAAAATATGTACATCATTTACAAAATATAAAAATCACATTTAATTAAATATGTAAAATGTGAGAATGATTTTATTTTATATCACAGTAAAAAAAATATTGCCATTAAATTCAGAAATGAAGAACTATCAATCATAACACATTGTTATGATTGTTCATAAAAAAATGCAAAGAAAGTAACATGGGTCCATGATTTTTATTAATTTTCTTTCCCAAAATAAAAAATCACCACTTATTGAATTTATATTTATAGAAGAAAATAACTTACGCTACAATCAATATCAGACATTATTGAGTCATTATAATTATTTTGTACCCATGTATTAGTTTTTTCCAGTCTATCATTAATTTTAGTCAATTCTACCAAACTAGGATTTGGTATGATACTCAATTCAGAATACTTGAGAGAAGCTTGGTCAAGTGTATCACAATACAAAATTTTACTTGGATTTTTATCATTGTAATTTTTTATAATTTCTTCATCAGATATGATATCATACTCAGATAATACTCGAATACTGCTTTCACTATCAACATCACTCAACAAATCCGATGTGCTATTTTCATTTAATGATCCAGTTATAGTTTCAATAGATTGTTTTTTCTTTAAATCATCTTTCATTAAATGATTTTGTTGTTGATATAAAATAGTTCTTAAATACTTAAGTGGCTTAATATCAAGTTTCATTTTTTCTACCTTACTCTCTAACAGTACTAATATTTTTTCTTTCTTTTCCAATTCATATATTTTTTGTTTAACCTTTTCTAATGACAAGCAATCTTTAAGTACTGCAACTTTTTCTTGGAGATTTTTGTTTTCAGAATTTAGCTCCATAATTTCTTTTTGTAATTGACTTAAGTGATCCATGTCAATTTTTTTAATGTTTCATTAAACTTATTACTTGTTAACTTTAATAATTTCAAACCATAGTAATGTTCAACTGTAAAATAATAACAGAAAATGAATGTATTGGTATTGGTGTTAATAACTAACACGTACATTTAAGTATTCACTCTAATTTTCTTCAAAATAAGTCCATGGGACCATAAATGAAACTTCTCCCTTTCATCAGCTTCCATTTGAAATGCATTATTAGTATAACAATACAAAGTGAAATTTAGAAATCGTTTAAATTTAATCAACAATTTTCGAGAATTTAAGAAAGCTTACTTGCAATTGCAACTGATTCAAACAAATTTTGAAGTTCTTCATAAAGCCCAATTCGTAATTTATATTATCAATTATATTTTATTATGTTATCAATAGATTGACCTTGAAGTTTATCATTAAACACACTAGTATCATGGTATAATGAACAACATTAATCTCTGAATACTGCGTCTCAATAATAGTATCAGCCGGTACAACGAAATCCACAAATTACGTCGTAAATACATAATATTAATTAACTTTCTGTTTTTGATGTTTGTATTAAAGATTTTGTTTAACAATTATTTTTGTCGTCTTAAAAGGTTAGAGATACGTTGAATTTTATCCATTCAAAATCTTATTGTTTTTACTTATTACACGGGTAAGTTTAATGTATAAAAATGAGTCCTTAGCTTTATAAAAATTGAGATACAGTAAAAAATGTATACATTATATATATAACAAGAGTACTAACTAAATTAAATTACACGAAATATTTTTTAAGTTTAAGGCTATTTTGTTATAGAGAAGTAAAAGTTTAGGCCATTGAATAAAAACTTTGGGACAAGCTTCTTATAAATTTTTAATTTATTTTATTTAAAATAATATGATGCAGTGATCCTGTATACATGATAAATATTTCAATATATCAATATTGTAAGAATTACTGTTTTTAAACTAAAAGATTAGTTAGTAAAAATTATTTTAAAATATATAATTTTATGTAAATTGAAGACTTTAATCATGAATTTTTTCTTGATGTAATTAAAAGAAATTATAATAAGGGTTCAGTATAGCATAATTAAGGAATATTTTGATATCATTGGCTGTTTTATAGCAACTTAAATGTTTAAGGATTAAAAATGGATACAAATAAAGGTAAACAAAACTTGGAAGATCAAATAAAAACTTTGGTAATGGAAAAAGATTTATTGAAAAAACAATTAAATGTTCTGAATGAATGTTTATCAATTGAAGAATTGAAAAATAAAATTGAAGATCTTGAAATGAAAATGAAAACTATAGCATTGCTGGAAAATATGATTAAACAACTTAGACAAGATGTTGAACCTTTAAACTATTTGAAATCTATATTAAAGGAAAAAAATTTAGATAAAAAGAATTCTGAATGTACATCAAAGAATAAGTCAATAAATGAAACCAACGAAGTATTATTAAAGCAACCAGAATTATTTACCTTGATGAATTCTTTAGGAGAATCTGATGTTTTACTTAATCAAAATTTTAATGAAAAATCAACTATGATTGACACTTTGAATAAAATATTTGAAGAACCTGTTGATGTACCAGATGAAAATAAAAGTTTGGATGGCAGTATTCATCTGTTAGATCAATATGATATGTTGTCGGAAGAAGATTTTTTAAATGTGGTGCCTGAGGTTAGTATATTATCTTGATAGCTATATCCAGTGTTGGGCAAGTAACTATGTTTAATTAATAGTTACAAATTAATAATATAATGTTATTACTGTTACATTACTTACACAGATAAGTAACAAATTATATTACCTTAAATTATAAAAGTTAATGTGTTACTAAATAGTTACAATTAGTGACACAACCCGAAAATAATTTCAAGAAGAGGGGTTATTATTTAATAAAAAAGTTTTGATTTTTTTTTTGCTTACCCAAAAATTTTCTTCTGCATTGCTAACCATCAAAATATTAATGACTTAAAAAATAATCATTTTTTATTCTGCATTGCAAAAAATTCACACATCATTAATTGTTTTTCAAGGGGGATGGTTTACAACTCCTAAACACCACCTATCATACCAATAACGGTGCTAGAATGCCTACACATTTAAACTTTAAACTGTTCTTTTTATGATGATCTATACTTCTGAGACACTCGCTTCCATTACAATTTATCTTACGTAAAAAATTATGCAATTTATCAAGTTTTTGAGGAAAAATTATTTTTCTTATCAAATAAAATTTTATTTTCACAACTAAAATTTAGAATTTTACTATGTTTCATTAATAACATTTAAATGTGCTGGTATGGCTCAGTCTTGTATGAGTATGATCAAACAATTCCGATGTATACTTAAAATTTAGACTGGGAAAAGCAAAATTAGCCCCTCTTCTCTAGGCCCTAGTGTAAGTTATACATTTTTGAATCAGCATTTTAATTAATATTATATTACTCAATGCCGTAACTTAAATAATTGTAACTTAATTAAAAATACGATATTTGATATAAAAAATAACTAAATTACTTAGACGTTATTTAAAATGTTTATAAGTAATGAGCAGCGTATGTTACGTTACTACCCAACAGTGGCTTATAAGATAAATTATAATTAGTGTATTTTAAACTTAATACAATTTGATTGTAATGATTATATTACTTTATAGAGAGATTCTCAAGTTGGAAATAATTCAGAAACAATTAAAGGATTTGAATTAGTTAATGATACTAAACATGCCAAATTACTCAGTAATGACATAACTAATTTTAAATCCACTGAACCTGTATGCTCAGTAAATAATAATAAAAATATGGTAATTTTAATTTATAAAAAATTATTTTAGGCTTATATTTGGCTCTTGATCATTATATATATATATATACAGGATGATTGAATTCTGATAAGACCCTCATTTTCTCTGAAACTTTTGAGTTTTCAATTACACTTAGACAGTGACTGAATGATACCACCATACCACACCTCTAATTTACTTATTCTATCAATTTAAATAAAGTATAATCTAAATTTACAGATTATTTTTGAAGTCATTAATAAACTATAAAATTTTTTTTAAAAATTACCATAATTGACTATGCCAAACTAATTATATATATATATGTATAATTGTAAACTTTAAAATAAAAAGATAAAAAAAAAAGTCGTATTTTATAATCGTTGAGTCATTAACAGCTGTTATACACCAAATCCTCAACACTCAAAAAATAATATCAGCCCCAAAGTGCTACAGGACTAAAACTAAAGAACAAAATTACATATTTAATAGCTGATGCATACGAAAAAATGACATATACTAATTATATGCTCCTTATAAGGGATAGATCTTAAAAATACTTAGCAACTTATAAATTAAGAAATAACCATTACTTAAATAAATAAAAAAATATTGAACAAATTCTTATTTAAAAGAAATTTAGTGGTCAATAATAAATCAGTCAGCCTGTATTCAGGATTATTCCTAAACTACGCTTTATGAAATATCTTCGAAAATATCTGAGCTAATCATTTTATTTATTTTTTAACAATAATGGTTTTTTATTAAGCTGTTTTACCCAAAATATTAATTTTCTGCTATCATCCCATATGCCCTAAACTCGAATCAACTTTTGATTTTCAAATAGTAAACCAATTTTTTTTTTTATGTAATTTATAAATTTATTGAACTGAAAAAAAAGTATTTTATTTAGTTTTCAACAAGTTTTAGTTATTTTAAGTTGAAACTGATTGCTTTAAAGGCAATTGAGAGAAAAACTTACTTATTTTTAAAATATTACATTATTATCATGTCGTATATCGATATACACTACTGGTTATAGAAATATGACAAAAATGTATGTTCATTACATTGCTAAGAACTAATGGCACATTTTGATTGATGATATTAGTGCCTTATATAAATAAATGGTTATTTTTTCAACTTCCTTAAACTTCAAAGATTTGTTCATTGAGAAATATAAAATAAAAAAAAACAATTTTTTTATTCAATCAAACCTGATGGTAGAAAAAAATTGAATACCATTTCAAAAGCAATAGCTTATAGCATAATAGTAGAAAATGAATTTTTTTCATAGCATAACTCAATAAAGAATCCTTATTGACACAAAAATAAAAGATTAGCTCTTATATTTAAATATTAATTTAAAACTAAGAAATATTTAACTAAAAAAATCACAAAAATTAAAGTTATTAAACACATACATATATATTTAACACTGATGATGGTAACATTGTTCCTAAAATACATATATGCTATTTTTTTAGTCATTTTTGTGACTTTTGAGTTAAATATTTTTTTAGTTTAAAATTTATATTGTAAATATATTTTTAATTTTAAATAATATTACCCACGAGTGATAAATTCTTATTTTATATCTATTATAATTTCAAAATTATTTTGTAAAGCATTATTAAGGAATTACTAAATATAATGTTATTAAAATTAAAAAAAATAGTAATCTAGTAGGTATATTGTCTATTATTTTCTAAAGATAATATTTTTATTACATATGATTTTAATAATGAACTGTTATTTATTTTTTTAGATAAATTTTGATAACTGTGATCTACCTTTAAATGAAGCATGTTTAGCTAATTCTTTCTTATTGAAACAAGTAAGTTATGTGCTATTTTTTAAATAATTAATGCCACTTTTTTTTTTTTATGTTTGTCACCACTTCTTATTTCTCACCAGACTGGTTTCTTTCAATGATACGTCAAAAGATCACAAATCGTATCTAGTTGAAGACGCTGCTCTTAAAAATTGAAATATTTTCCTCATTCCTTGTAAATGAAGGAAATCTTCAAAAAAATTACAATTTTTAAAATTGGCATATGTTGACATTTTTTTTTCTTATAAAACTACCATAACCTTTTCAAAAATGAACAAATCAAAGTAATTGTTTTTTATGTAGACACCTTAGATATTTTTTTTTCATTTGTAATCATTTTTTTTTGAAACCTTGACCCTTAACAGGGTGAATTCGAAATAGCAATTTTTTTACAAAAGTCAATTTTTACAACTTAACTTTTAAAAATGTTCCAGGAATACTGCATCCTTTAAATATATGTTAAATTAAAGCTTATGTTACATACTATAAGTTAAAAAAAAAAAATTGTCCCAACGATATATTAAATAAATTTAAGTTTATTAAATATTTATTTATATATCAAAATTTATAATAAGGAAATAGGAGTACATTTTGCTTTTGGAATAATTTACCAATTTCTTAAAATTAAACACTATTTACAGATTTGTATCAACATCAAAACGTTTCTTTGAACAGTGATTTTAATCACTGTCAGATATCATCTATACTTGTCCCAACTATCTCACATGCATACTTTGCTGTGTCGCAACTGTGCTACCTTTTTTTTTTTTTTATTGTAACATCTTATATATGTAAGTTCTCTTTATTTCTAAGTAAATTATCAAATTTTTATTAAAAGTTAATTTAAATGAAGTTTAATATTTATTAATATCTTGCCTTAATTTATCTAAAATAAAAGTGAAATTGAAAAAAAAAACAATGTAATTTTCCTAAAGACACATGTATTTATTGAAATATTAACCAATATTTTTTTTAGCTTCTATGTAAAGCTGAAAAGGTATTAATTTTTTGATTTTTATTTAGAATGACGAAAAAGAACAATCCATTACAAAATCTTTAGCTTCTGATAATAACACAAATTATAATTCCACCCAAAAGGAGCAAAATTCTTTAAATACTTTAAATCTAAAGTTTGATATTTTACGTGGTATTTATTCATCTGGCTATGTAATAAATCCGACTACCACACAGTTGAAATTCATTGAACACTGTGTTAATGGAAAAGATAACATACTAGTTGTTAAACCAAATTTGGAATGGCAAATAGTGATTTTAATTCCTATGCTTCAACGAATTATACCTGTCTTAAGGGAATGTCAAGTACTCATTTTAGTGCCAACTCGTGATATTGCTCTGCAAATAGAACAGGTATTAAAGTATTTTTTTTTGATTTCTTATTTTATGAAAATGAATATTAGAATAATTATTAATTCTTTATACAATTGTGTATATTGTTAAATAATTACTGATTTTTTCCTTGTGATATTATAAGTGTGTACAGTGTCGTGGATGTAGAATATTTTACTTTAAACATAGTAATATATTTTAGTTTCAACAATTATAATTGAAATACTACAGCTATAAAAAAATAATGTCATTGGAGGCTTAGGTCCCCTTGGCTTCATCCCTGACTATGCATTGCACCAAATGTGTAGAAATAAAATTAAATGATTTAAACATATAAATATTAAAAATATATAATATACATCATTGATCTATTGAAATATATATTTTAAATATTCAAATAATTGTTGTCTAATAAATATGTAGTAAACAATTATATGTAGATCAAATTCATGATAGACGTAAATATAGACTACTAGATGTAAAATAAACATCATCTACAAGATAAACTTGTAATTAAAATTCATCATTGATTTGGTTTTATAAGACTGATAGCAGCAATAATTTATTTCAATAGTGACAACATACAGTATATGAATTTTTACTTGACATTCAAATTTTTAATCAACCGTTCATCTAATAAAACTTCTTGAAGTTATTAATGCAATCATTAAAGTCATAAAGCTTCTCTACATGTATATCAATATACAACTTTTTATTTTAAATTACGTTTAATAAAAGCAACATTTTGTTTTGAAAATTTATTATTTTACATTGTTTTAATTAGCTCTTAAAATTGTTAGGTATACGCCCTTTGAACATGACAGTGTCAATATTAAAATTTTATTATAAATTTCAATTTTCATCATGATGTGGCACAGTGGATCATTCAATTGCCATCTTAGCACTGATATTCAGCTACACTGTTTGTTGTTCATTTCTAGTTGAGTAACCATATGGTAACTTTAACAAAGACACACACACCTTGTCCCCATACTGGTTCCCTTGGCATAACAATATTACATTAAGTTGATAGACAGTGTAAAAATCCTATCAAATCAGTAATATAGAACAAACTCCAAATAGTTGGGATAGAGGCTATGATGACGATTATGATAAATTTCATTTTTTTCTTTTTAAACTAAATTTGTTAATATATTTATTTATTTATTTATTAATAATCTAAATTTGTTATAGGTTATGAATAAAATTGGAAATTTTATGGATCTAGAAATTTGTATTGGAGGAGATAATGTACCACGAAAACTACCTGTAGTTCCACTTGTTGTTGTTGGTACACCAGCTGGTGTATCTAATATGATTGCTTGTAATTCATTGAATACAGAATTTATTAGTACAATTCTGATGTATGAATTAGATGACATGATGCCTTATTACGTTGTCATTGAAGAAATAATGAATAAGCTTCATGTAGCAAACAAACAAATAACAATATTAGCTTCGAGTGGAATTGATCAAATTTTAGATATGTATATTGATTCTTTGCAAGATCCATTCATTTTCTTAAATGATATAAAAGAAGAACCTAAAATTTCTCATGGTACATAGAAGTCTAAGAAAATTGCCAAATTTATCTAACTACTTTATTTTCTTAGGATTACCTTGTCAATATGTATTGGGTATACTAGATGAATATAAATTTCTTACAATTTGTCAAATATGTGAAGAATTAAAGAAAGAATCAATAATCATCTTTTGTAATACCTTAGATGTAGCACAAATTTTATGTGAACAAATGCTATCTTTAGGATTTTTAGTTTCCACTTATTATTCTAGCATGAATAATTATGAATGTAATAAAAAATTATCTTTGTTAGTTGATCATAACATACAAATTTTTATAACTACTGATCCAATTAAAAAAAATGAATTTCCTGAATTTTTACCTAGTTATATTGTTATAAACTATGAGTTACCAACAGATCCTTTAGTGTATATTAGTAGACTAAAGTTCTTTAAAACTAATACTAAAATAATAAATTTTATCAGTGAAAATGATGAAATAGCTAAAAATAGTATTGAACAATACTGTGTAATGTTACCTATGCCTATTAATACTAAAGATATACTAAAGTGATAAAATTCTTTACTTTTTCAATGATATATTTTTTTTTACTTTTATATTATACTCACAATTTTTAAAAATTTGTTTTAATAAATATTGATATTATGTATGTTATTTATATAAAAGTACTTTTATATGACTATTTGAATGCAATAAATGGAAATTATGGGTTATTATTTTAATTAAATTGTGTTTTTATAATTTTGTCAAGAACCCTAGATTATTAATGTATTTATATTGAATAAATATTATGATAACATTATTACTAAAAACATTGTTATTAAAATATAGTTGGGTGTTAATTTTCAAAATATTAAATTTAAAATGTCTTCAATTTTAAATTAATTTATAATAGTGTTGTAAGTTAGATATTTCTATCAGAATTAAAAATTTAATAAATTAAGTTTGAAAATAGTTTATTGGTAATAATGTTTGCCATTAGTCATAATTAGAGTCCAGATTTATGTGCATCTAAAATGTTTAGTATTATATGTGATTAATCATAAAAAAATCCTTGAAATATACATTTTATTATGTTATTAAAATGCATAAAACAAAATAATATGGAACATTTTTTTTTTTTTTTATGCTTTATTAATTTCTAGTACTTTTATAACACTTTAAATTTAATAAACATTAGGAATTACTTAAATTTTTTTACTTGGTATATAACAACCAGTTTAAAGAAGATATTTTTCATTTCAATGATTGAAGTAATAAAGATAACAAAATAAAACTCAATATAATAAAATCTCGGTTTTCAAAAAAATATACATAATAATATTATACTTAAATATATACAAGTAGAATAGTTTTGGAATTTAGCAGTTAATTGACTCGGGATAATTAAAATAAAAAAGACCCACACAGGGGGGTCACGGCACAGTGGTGACGTGGCATAGTTGGGTCAAGTATTATGATATCTGACAATGATTAAAGTCACTATCATAAAAAACGCTTCGATGCAAATCTTAGATTCTGTTTAATTTTAAAAAATTGATGGATTATTCTAAAAGCTATATGACCTGTTATTTCCTTATTTATATCCTGATTAATATAAAGTATATCGAATAAAAGAGGGATATAATTATTATTTCCCATGAAAAAATTGTATTGATCCATACACTTTTCAATAAATTGTAGCATTATAAAATTAAAAATGTAAAATTTAAAATCATTTATACCGTGAAGACAAAATAAAGTGCGAAATTTTTTTTTCCTATGATAAAGTATATTACATTAGCTTTAATTTAAGATATATATAAAAGTGTCAGACCTTCCGGAACATTTTCAAAAATCAAGTTGAAAAAATAAATTTTTTGTGAAAAAGTTGTCATTTTAAATCCCCCCTGTGGGCAGATAAAGGGTCAGATATGAAAAAAATATATACTAAATGATAGGTAAAGACATCATGAATCTATAAAAATAAAGAATTATATTTATTTGGTTATTTTTAAAAAAGTTATGGCAATTTTAAGTAGAAAAAATTTCGAAAATTAGCGTTTTTTAAATTTGTAATTTTTTGGAGGTTTTCCCCATTTACGGGGAACAAGGGATTTTTTTTCAATTTTTGAGGGTAATGTCTTCGACTAGATACGATTTGTAATCTTTTGACGTATCATTGAAAGAAATCGGTTCGGTGAGAGCTGAGAAAAAGTGGTAACAGACACAAAAAAAAAATAAACACATCTTAGTAAAACCAATACCTTCTCAGCTTCGCATCGAAGTTAAAATTACCAATATTTATAATGATACAAAAAAATATAATTTGTTTATTCAATTACTACACATATATTTTATGTCTACGAATGAATATGTATATTAGGGTGGTCCTTAAAATACAAATTTTCAAAATTCGATTTACGCGCACCAAAAAATTGTTCTAATACATGTAAAAATAAACTGTGCAAAATTTGGTCCCGATAAGTCAAAAGTCAAAAGTTCCATAAATATTATGTTTACCAGTAAAATTCATATATTTTGGCAATTTAAGTATATACGATGAACCGTTCAAGTTATAAAAAAAATTTTCATATAAAAGTTATTTGAAATTTAATTTTCTATTAGTTTTGTAGAAAAATAAAATTGTTTTACGTGTTTTCTGGCGAGGTAATAAAAAAAACTTATAAATAACAATCATTTTTCTATCATTTATCATGAATGAATATTGTACTATTAATAAGTTATTATTATTTTTACTGAAATAGATTGCTGTTGTAGGTTATCATCAATTTTATAAACTGGAAATCTTCAATAATATTTAAATATTACCCAATTAAGTAATAAGTAAAATCATAATTAATGCAATTTCCTTATTAGTTTGATATAATTAAAAATATCGACTAAATGATTATTGTAGTGATGTTTCAACAAACAAAATACTTTATAATAGTTTGTAATAAAAGTAAAAAACAATTCATTCAATACGATCGAATATAATTTTCTCTCTGGGTAATTATTTCTTTCTATTGTGTGTTTCTTGATTAATTCAAAATGTGTCTTGAAGATTTTTGTATGAGAAGAATTATGATGAAATCTTGTCATAAAGAATTTGAGTTGGACGTAATTTTGCTTCCGTCTACAGCAAGGTATATGTTAAACATCCAAAGTTAATACCACCCAGTTATGTAGCAGACGATGGAGAATCGTGTCAAGTTGACAAACTCTTAGATGATATAGAAAAAATTCCAGCAATTCCTGATCTTTTTAAGTAAATTCGTTTAAAACACTACCTTTCTTATGTTTTTTTTTTATTATTTATAATTATTATTTTAATTGAGTATATTTAATTTACATTAAGTACACTTTTGAGTATATTTAATGTACAATTAGGATGTATTTATTATATTATTTTTTAAATTAAAAAAATCTTTTGTCTCTTTCTCCAAAATTCTTCATATATATGTAAAAATGAACTAATAAAAAATCGAAGTCGATTAGACAATTTTAACCTGTGTCTGCAAGGGATTAAAATTTTGTTTTTGGTTATTTGCATATAATTCGTAAAAGAGCGTTCGCAGGAAAAATATGCAATATGAATTATAGATATTGTATAAACACAACACCCGGTGGTACTCATCGGTTCGTTGTTTTATTTTGTCTTAAGTCAGGCTATGTCGAGGAAAAGGAATAAGGGTAGTGGACTGTATGAATGAATGTAGAATGAATTTTAAAACATATAACAATTCAATATATCATACATAAATCGTGAAATCATATGCCACAATGACGCTAATATAAACAAATAATAAATTACAAATGTGAATAAATCTTAAATTGAAGATGAACAAGTTACATACTTATCGGTTAATTGTAATGGCTGATGATAATGTTGAATATTCAATGGATCAATTGAAGTCGAATGCAATTAGCTGACCAACGTGCACCATATGCAATGAACGGTACTGTGATATATCTCAGAAAATAAAAATAATCGAAAAGCATCACCTTTTCGATTATTATAATATTATAATATTATAATGATACATCACTATCATTTTTTACAACAAAAATACTATGGATTCGCAAGCCTAAGATGCTTTAGCTTATATCTAAACGCACTAAGATGGCAGGGAAAATGCAGACACAAAGAGAAGACTGACAACAACACCCATAATGGTGTTAGCAAATTAATATACAATTCCTCGACAGCGCATTCGACCGATGTGTGTTTAACAGATATAAATTTTTTAAGAAATTAGGCACTTATAACTTTTTTTATGAATCCATCAGTTTTTCTGGAAAATTATAGAATACACAAAATGTTTTCAATTTTTTTGAAATTAATAGAAGTATTAAAGAAATATTTATAGATTTTTTTGTTATATTTCACGAACGCTTGGAGCAGAAATAACTAAAAAACAACTCATATTGTCCAACTTACAACCTAGAGCAGGCATAAGTTAAAGTCATCTTATCGACTTGACATTTTTTTAGGGTCAATTGCAAAATTGAACTTAAAATGTTATTATACATGCAAAATATATGAGGAGCGACACTAAAGAAATTCTTAAAAAAAAATAATTTTATATAACTAAAAATCACTTTAATAGACATATTTTAATATCTAAAACTATATTAAATCGAAACTAACAAATAAAATATAGCAATAATTTTATTGTATCTAAATGATATATAGTAATTTAAAGACTTGAATAATTGACTATTTTAAATATTATTATTTTAATAGATACATAGAGTAATGAAAAATTACCATTATTTTTCTTAATTAGCATTATTTTGGAATTTAGTTGATTATATGTTTACACTATTTAAATTTTGAAAGATTCAACATTTGATGGTGTCATTAAGAAGGCTCAGAAAAAAAAATTTTAGATGCTTTAATATCTATTTTTAATCACAGTTTAATCAATAATTTAGATAATAGGATTTCATTTCTGTGAATATCTAATTCAATAAAGATCTCGTCGATCATTAAATAAAATATACATTATTTAATTGTAAACTTTTTTAATTCATTAAAGTACACGTCATTTGTTTAAGTAAATATTTTTTTTACACATGTTCAATATGCTCTTTTTATTAGTTAGCGGTTGTCGCAATAATAAACGTACACACACGATATATTTCTTAACATAAATAGATAATATTGATTTAAATAAACACAAGTTAGCACGATTATTTTTTAGTAATTTTCATCTTGTAAATAACATAAATGTCTCTATTTACTTTGGAAAACATTCAAAATAATAGTTTATTGTGTGTAAGCAGTGTTAAAATCAGAATTTTTTTCTTGAGGGCTCTAAACATTAATGCAATCAGAAAATAAGTTTTTTGTCATATTTTCATGAGATATTTGCAACAAAAAAGTTACGTGAGAAAAAAAATTTGTTTTTAAATCAATATTATTCTTAACTCGAAAGAACCGTACCTTCAAACATAACATGAATTCGGATACAATTTTTATTGCGTTAACTCGACCGTAACATAAGGCCAGTTAAGGATTACAGTTCAAAAGTTACATGTATAGTCCGGTCACAGCTCCACGTTGCTTGTCATCACCACCTCCCTCCGCTTGACCTACGACACTCCAAGCAGTTGTGTCCGACACAATGGGCGCCCCAGTTGTAGTGCGTGTGCGGTGGTTATGTCGTACCGTCGGATCTGATGACTCGTTGCAAGTGAGCTGTCGTATTTTTTTGTCGGTCGGTTTGTATCGGCCTGTTTAGGCGAAAAACCAACAGTTCCTCTCGTCCGTTACGTGCTACTACGCGAGTGGACCGCAGTCATCAGCAGATCAACGGGGGCTGGCATTCCATACTTCCAAGAAGAATTTATTGGGAGGCGTTCGGCGATCCTTCGACATCAAGTGGCAGTGTTGGTTGGGTGATGGCTGGATGACGTTTTACGTCTTTGTTAATGTATTAAATCTATTACTTTATATATATATATATATAATAAAATCATGTCTGTAATCGACGTTCAGTGGATTGACTACTCGTTGTTAGTCTTTTAAGTGTAGTGGAAAAACCTCCGACCCATAGTTTATAGTTAATTAAGTTAACTATAAAGTTATTTCATATTTTATTTATTAAATAAAATAATTTACTATTAAAATAATCAAAGTTAATACCCTAAAATATTAAATATTCACATTTTGCATTGTAAAATTCCTTTTTTTGCAAAGTATTCCTAACTATGTTATGAAATACAAAAACACCTCATACTTGAAAAATTAATTTTTACATTAAAATATTGGTAATTAGAATAGATGCACATTCTTCATAATCCTAGAGTATTGAACTATATAAATTATACAATTAGATACATTAATATATATTTTTTTAGTTAGATAAAGTAATATTCCCAGGGTATTCAAGAAATTATTCTGCTTAAGTATGTAGACTACAATGAATAATCAGTTAAGTATTAGTATTAGTAAATTAATTATCAATAATCAAATTCTGATAACAGGATCGGCTATAGGGATGTGCTCCCTAGTTGATGATTAAAAAAAGAGAACTAGGAACAAAAACCTAAAATACAAGTTTTGAAACCGAAACCATAATTTAAGTACGATTTTTATTTCTGTATATATAAATAATTTATTTCTACATTTTTAAAAGATATATCTTTAATAATCATTTTATATTAAATTATTTTTATTAGTTTGAAATGTATTTTTACTCAATCTTTAGGTATCATTTAAATAATAGTTAACTTAATGAGTAGTTTTTCAATGAAAATATTACTTTTTAAATATTTTTTTGTTAAAAAGATATGAAGTTATGACTTTACCATTATCAAGGTTCATAACTTCTAGCATTTATATATTTTATTTGAAAGGTTCTAGGGGTAATATAAGTAATAAATTTTGTAGTAACTCAAAATAAAAGGAAAAGTTACTTAGTATTTAAGTTTATCACTATGATGGTTTATTTTGTGTTACTACTTGTTTATTAAAATATGATATTTATATCTCTATTGGTATCGTAGAGTCCATAGGCATAGAACAATAAAGACAAGTAGTTACAAAGAAACAAATGTAGATTCTCTTTATTGAGGAATAAAGACTAATTAATTGGTAAACACCTTTAATAGGACACTGAGGCAACGAGACAGTAATCTGACCCTCGAGACCCTGTTTAAGTATAAAGTGCGAAAAAATTAATAAAATTACTAAAGAGAATATTGATCTATCGTTCATTAAAAATATTATATTTCTCTTTAGTCCGTTCCATATTAGAATATGGCTCAGTTATCTGGAATCCATATCAAACTAATTTAATTAATAAGATTGAACGCGTCCAGAATAGATTCTTGCCAATACTTTCATTTAAAACAGGCAAAACCGATATATCGCTGAAGTTACTTAGACAAATACCTATAAACATCCCTCAAACTAAAACTCGTGTGTCACAAACGTTCTATACATCCACTTACCATCAAAACTACAGTCTTTTCGCACCGATCAACAGAATGTTAACTTTAGGCAACTCGATAAATAATTTTGACTTTTTTTACGATAACTTAGCCAGGGTAATTGTAGATGTTTATGTAATTAATTGAATTAGTATAAGTTTAAGTAGTTTTTTATTTCTAAATTCCTTGGTTATCAATAATTGTATAATAACTTTCTGTATTAACTGATTTTAATTTGTAAATCTATTTTCTTATCTGTTATCTTACCTGTATTGATTATGCAAACTGTTCTGAGCCCAATTTGGGTGTATATCCATTAATAAATAAATAAATAAATTACTCAGATTATTAATTCTAAATAATTGGGTTAATATGAATTTAATGATTCCTTATAGAAGGCTTGTGTAAAGATCATCGATAGTCAGAAAGTTAAGTATTATAGAAACTATTTCTTAAATTGTGTTAATTCGCACACACAAAAATTCTATAATGTCTCTTTTTATAAATAAAATCTCGACGCAAAATTATAAATCAATATCGCATTTAAATGTACCGACGACAACACGAGGTCACGGCTTATAAAAAAGCGTACGAAGTTGAATAGTAAACGATGATATTCGATATAAACGAACACTCAGAGTATTATGACAAATGTTTATATACATGTAATACAAAATACAAATTATAAATTTTTCATTGATAAATGTAAGATGCGTAATACCATTGGGCATATTACGCCAATTTGTTTCAAAAAATATATATATATAGTAATAATAAAGGTATTATTAATATAAATTATTAAGGAAACATTTTTTTGTATAATTTGAAAATTGTTGTTGAATTTTAAAATTGTATTTTTGATGTATGATCTAACCTTGTACTTTAATTTAAAAGAGGTTTTAAGAACACATGAAGTATAAACAAAAAATATTACATAACAAAAAAAAATCCCATGTTCATCACTTGATTTTATGCTAATACGGATACAGAGTTTCGTCAAATAGGGCAACAATATATCAGGAGACTATGAGGTATAAATAATATAAAATCAGCTATAGACGAACCAACTATAGGCAAGAATGCATAAACTACGCATGGGCCCCTGGTTTGCACACACAATGGTTGAAACGAAAACTATTCAGACGAGTTGACTGACAACTTGGATTCGACTATGATCAAGTCACTATAATTATATTACATTTATACACGTGTATATATATGTATATTCATTAATTATAAATATAATAATAAGCAATGATATATTCTATTTTATTCAATTACATTTTCTTTTATAGTTTTTAATTAGATCCTAAGTATGATTTATTTTTTATTCGCACTCATTAGTAAAACTGTTTAAACATTGTTAAATGTTGCTTGATGAGTAAAATCTAATGCTAAAATTTTAGAACCTAATAACATTTCGATGGTTTGACCCTTAGTAAATACTTCCGTAATCTTTTGAAAATTACTTGTCATTTGAATTAACTTGAAATTTTCGGCAAAAATGAATCTTCATCTAAGTCACATATTATATAATACCAACAAAAAAACCTAGAATTCATTTTTGTTCCCATAAATTACTAAAATTATAATAAATAGAAAATTAAACAACGTGGAATTGTCAATAACGTTTAGATCAAGTTGTATCGATGTAGCTTCTAATGAATTTTATTATATATAATTAAAAACCTTGTTCCTTAATTGACTACAAAGCAATATAAATACCTAGTAAGTTTTACGCTAAAGCTTAGAAATACTGAAGGAAAAGAATGTAATTAGGATTCCTTAACTTTATTCAAATGCGTCTATGTAGGTGATACAAAATAAAAAAACTAAATGTATATGTAAAAGATTTTTTTTTTAATTCAAATAACTTCATTAGTTAGGAAATCCTAAGGTTCGATTACAAAAATTATGTTTATAGTGAGACGACCAAGTCGAGATATTACGATACTACAAGAATAAGGTGGCGTGTGATATTTGAAGCATGTACCGACTTATTCATTATGTCATTTATTTTGTTTATCAACAACTACGCTAACGCCGTAATAAAGCAGTGTATCCAACTATTTATCTCGGATCCCTAATATTTTTAGAAAAGTAATGGGGGGAACATGATTTTACTAGACTACAGTTTGTTATCGATTGGAATATAGCTTGTTTATGTGTCTAATGGTCACACTGTTCTCTAACCTAACCCAAACGACAACGCTCGTCGATTATACACGATATACTATTGGGCTCTTTCTACCCGTCCCCGGTCTCTCTCTTCAGAGTTCCTCTGGTCAAATCACATGTACTGTAAGCGTTTTCCACATTGTTAATTGTCAAAATGTGTTCTCAGTAGATACATTTATTCGTTTTGCGACTATAAACGATTTTATAGTATGTAAGTACAAATGCACTTTAATATTTAATATATAGTAGTTGTTTATTACTTATTTTTGATGTCTGATATGGTGTCCGCTTCTTGTAGCCACATCACATGAGTAATCACTAACATGGGTACCATAGGATTAATTAACCGGTTTCAATTTAAATTAATAATTCTACTTATTAAAGTAGATTAATTAATTATTTCGGTATTTTTCTTACAAAACTTAGAAGCTTAGAATCCAAATTTCGAGAGTTTTATAGGTTAAGCGGTAGGAGGATGGTATAGATGTATTCTATCATTTTTTTCTTTTGTATCATAGTGACTTAATCTTTTTTGTAATTAATTCTTATATAGCTCGGTTTAATGAATATAAATTAAATAATTTTTTTTAACCATGGTATATTTTCATTAAGTAGGTATATTCAATACTAATTGATATCAAAATTTATTTGAACTCGTTACATATAATATTATATTGCATAAAATTAACTTTTGGTGGGTTACACTTACTGTTGAAAAATACTTATTCCTCTGTAATGATAAAAATTTTGTTGCTTCAGAAATGATTTATTTTATCGGATGCTGTAGTATTTATTGTTTAAATTCTATATGGTGAATGAAATATGTATGATACAAAGTTTAATTGCATTGTATAATAAAAATGCAATTTATTCAAAGTTTTTTCCATATAATTAGTGTATTTATAAGAAATTCAACATTCCATTATCTCCAACAAACAGATTTTTATGATAAAAAATTAAGTTACATTACTAATTTTATATTAATACATTCCCTCAATATTTAGCTGAACATACTGTTATTATAGTTAATATGAATCATTTTCATAGATTTATTAATTCTAAGAATCTTATCAGTATTTAGATAATTCAATTAATTTTTAGGTATCATAATTTATTGTATATGTTTTAAAGTATTTTGAAATGTTACATTCAAGCCACTCTATATTAATTTGTAGTTTATTATAAAAAATTATTTTTTTTTGTATTTCGTTTTACTTTTAATAAGTTATTCAATGAATATACTGAAGTATTTTTTAGTTTATTTAATTTTAACAAAATGCAATTCAATTTAGAATCTAATAAATAATGAATGAAACGAAAAATGGACCGTCTAATGAAACCAATGAGTACTCGGGACCACCGGGAATGGATGTTGGCGGAACTATCGAATCCGACTGGAAAGAAGTTGTGGACAATTTCGATGAGATGAATTTGAAAGAAGAACTGTTGCGAGGTATTTATGGGTATGGTTTTGAAAAACCTTCTGCAATTCAGCAACGTGCAATTTTACCATGTATTAAGGGACATGATGTTATTGCTCAGGCCCAATCAGGTACTGGCAAAACTGCTACTTTCTCAATTTCCATTTTGCAGCAGATAGATACCAACTTGAATGAGTGCCAAGCACTTATTTTGGCACCTACCCGAGAGTTAGCTCAACAGATTCAAAAGGTAAATCAACAAGTGTTCAGAGTTATATTCATTTATAAAAAAAAATTTTTTTTTTTTTTTTTNTCTCAATTTCCATTTTGCAGCAGATAGATACCAACTTGAATGAGTGCCAAGCACTTATTTTGGCACCTACCCGAGAGTTAGCTCAACAGATTCAAAAGGTAAATCAACAAGTGTTCAGAGTTATATTCATTTATAAAAAAAAAATTTTTTTTTTTTTTTTTAGGTGGTTATTGCTTTGGGAGACTTCATGAAGGCTGAATGTCATGCCTGCATTGGAGGAACTAATGTTCGTGATGATATGCGCAAGTTGGATACCGGATCCCATGTAGTTGTTGGTACCCCTGGTCGTGTGTATGACATGATTGCTAGAAAGTCTTTGCGTACACAATTTATTAAAATTTTTGTACTTGATGAGGCTGATGAAATGTTGTCTCGTGGTTTCAAGGATCAGATTAAAGAAGTATTCAAGTTTCTTGAAGAGGACATTCAGGTTATATTGCTTTCAGCTACTATGCCTGAAGATGTTTTGGAAGTAAGCACTCACTTTATGCGAAATCCAGTACGTATTTTGGTGCAAAAAGAAGAATTAACATTGGAAGGTATTTATTATCCTTTGAATTAGTTAAAATAATTTTTTTAAATCAATTTTATTTTTTAGGTATTAAACAATTTTACATTAATGTGACTAAAGAAGAATGGAAATTTNAGTTTTACATTAATGTAACTAAAGAAGAATGGAAATTTGACACATTATGTGACTTGTATGATACGCTTAGCATCACCCAGGCTGTGATATTCTGTAATACTCGTCGTAAAGTTGAATGGTTAACTGAAAATATGCGTTTGAAAACATTCACTGTGTCTGCTATGCATGGAGAAATGGACCAACGCCAACGTGAACTTATTATGCGTCAGTTCCGTTCAGGTTCAAGTCGTGTGTTGATAACTACTGATTTGTTGGCTCGAGGTATTGATGTCCAACAAGTGTCATTGGTTATAAATTATGACCTACCATCCAATCGCGAAAATTACATACATAGAATTGGTCGTTCGGGCCGTTTTGGTCGTAAGGGAGTTGCTATTAACTTCATAACTGAAGATGATAAAAGGGCCATGAAGGACATTGAATCATTTTACAACACACATGTTTTAGAGATGCCACAGAATGTGGCAGATTTGCTGTAGACATGCTTCGTATCTGTGAGTAGTTTACTTTGAAAGAAGTGAAAAAGCATTCAAACGATTCAATTTTTATATAATATATATATATATACATATTTATATATAAAGTAAAACAAAATATTTAAAATTGAAAATCCGATATTTTATTTTTCCTTTTTACTGTGTATGTTTGCTACCTTAAGATTACTATTTCGTTTTTCCATTTAACGAAAATGAAAAGTGCACATTTTATTAATATTTGGAATATTTTGATTTTAAATAAAACTTACTATAAAATTTTTAAAGACTTGTATTTGAATTCATAGAATTGTTCCTAATGAATAATTAAGTATTAATTTCAGTATTATCCTTTGTTCAAAAAATTGGTAGTTTAATAGAATAATAGTAATTAGATAAATCAAAATTCTATAATTTAAATATAAAAATTCCATATACTTAAATGAATTATTATGATTTAGATGTAC